AACCACGTTCATGAGACCGTACTGGCCATGAATCAGTAGTGGACCTGGCAGCAGCGTAGCATACGACAGAGGTCACATGGCGCCAGGTGGCGGTGTAGGCAGCATTATTTCTGAAGCCATACACAGGCCTAGGTTAAAAAGCGGAAGCCGTCAGCATCGTGAGCATACGACAGCAGACACATGTGCGCAAGGGTGGCGATGGATGCAGCATATTCGGAAGCCAAACACAGGCCTCTGTTAAAAAGCGGAAGCCGTCAGCATGCATGAGTCAGACGACAGGATGGCACATGCGCAGGTGCGGTGGACGGCAGCATTCAATGTGGAAGGCCATACAGCACCCTATCACTAAAATGGAACCCACCAACAGTGTAAGGAGACCTGAAAGTGGCACATTGCAGAGTCTGGCGATGAAGTCAGCAGCAATGGGAGGCCGTACAGGGACCCATGACACACTCTGACCTGGCATCAGCAAGAGGTAGAGCTGCGGTTATGACAGGGGCGCCATGGGCAGAGTGCGAAGCATAAGCAGCTTAAATTGGAAGGGCCATACAGAGGCCTATTTAAAAAGTCCCCCCCAGCAGCAGTGTGTGGAAGACGACTATTAGTCGTCTCCCCCACGCTGCTGCTGGGGGGACTTTTTAACATATGGGGCCTCTTATGGCCTTCAATTTTAGCTGCTTACGCTCCCCCGCCACTCTGCCATGGGCCCCTGTATCTACCGCCTCCTCATGGCTGCAGCCAGGCCCGTAAGCTGCCATGGGCCCCCGTTACCGACCTTCCTCAGGCTCTTTGCCAGGTGCCCTAAATCTGTCATGGGCCCCTGTACCGCCTCCTCATGCTGTGCTTGTCCAAGAGTGTCCTGTTAAAGTCCCATTCTGGTCATGGGACTTTCAGGTCTCCCTCCCTGTACAGGTGGCTCCCATTGCTGCTGTCCTCCATCGCCACCCCTCTGCCATGTGCCACTTTTCAGGGTCTACCTCCACTGCTGGTGGGTTCCCATTTTACCGTCATTGCCTTCTGCTGAGTATGGGCCTCCCATTGTGTATGCTGCCGAATACTGCATGCCTCCACCGCCACCCTGCCCTGCGCCATGTTCCTGTCTGTTGGTGGGTTCCTGATGGGTGCTTATGCCTCACTGCTGCCTCCATGCTGATGTGCCCTCTTCGTCTTCACGCCGCTTTTTAACCGAGGCCTGTGTATTGGCTTCCGAATACTGCTGCAATCCACCGCCACCCGCGCCAGTGTGTCTCTGTCGTCCTGCTCACCTAGCTGACTGACGGCTTCATGCTTTTAACCTGGCCTGTGTAAGCGCTTCCGAATACTGCTGCCCCCCTCCACCGCCAGGCTGCGCCATTGTGCCAGCTTGTCAGTCTTGTACGCTGCTGGAGCTCGACTTCACAGAGTCAATGGTTGAGATAGCGATCTGTGTAAGTCAGCCTTCCTAATGCAATGCTGCCTCAGACCTTCCATCTCTGCCATGTGCCATTTCAGTCTCCTTGCATCACACTTGAACAGGGTTCCCTTTTTGAACCGGGTTGCCTAGTCTGGCTTCCGAATACTGTCAGCCTCCACCGCCACCCTGCGCCATGTTTAGCTCAATTATCTGCCTCACGCTGCTGAGGCTTCCGCTTTTTAATACCGACTAGGCCTGTGTATGTCCTCCTGTAATACTGCTGCTCTCCACCGCAACCACCCTGCGCCACTGTGCCTCTGTTGTCTTGCTCACGTTTGGCTGACTGAATTGGCTTCCGCTTTTAACCTAGGCCAGTGTGTATGCTTCCGAGATATACTGCTGCCCTCCACCGCCACCCTCGCCCATGTGTATACTCGGTCGTCTGCTCACAAGGCTGCTGACTTGGCTTCCGCTTTTTAATCCTAGGCCTGTGTAATGCCTTCCGAATACATGCTGCCGACTCCACCAGCCAACCGATGCTGCTGCCATTGTGCCTACTGTTCAGGTCTGCTCACAACTGCTGCTGACGGGCTTCCGCTTTTTAAACCTAGGGTGTGTATGGCTTGCCGTAATAACTGCAGTGCCCTCTTCACCTGCCACCGCTTGCGCCCATAGTGCCTCTGTCGTCTCCTTACACTGTTGGCGTGTGACGGCTTCTCATTTTTTAAAAACCTAGGCCTGATGTATGGCTTCCGAATACTGCTGCCATTCCACACCGCCACCGTCTGCGGCCATGGTGTCTCTGTCGTGTCTGCTCACAGCGGCTGACGGGCTCGCTTTTTAAACCGAGGCCTGTGTTTGTGGCTTCCGAATACAACTTGCAATCCCAGCCGCCGCACCCTACATGCGGCTGGCCAGGCCCCCTAATCTGTCATGGGCCCCTGTACCGCCTCCTCATGCTGCGGGCCGATGGTTCCCAGAGTGTGTCAGGTTCCCCTCGTACGGCCTCCCATTGCTGCTCGTCTCCATCGGCCACCCTCTGCCCCATGTGCCCACTTTTCAGGTCTCTCCTCACACTAGTACTGCTAGGGTGGCTTCCTAATTTTTGACATAGGGTCTGTATGGCCATCCCATTGCTGCTGCCAGCTCCAACCGCCACAATCTGTGGCTCCCACACTCTGGTTTTTGGCCCCTGAGTGACTGCCCAAAATGTGTTGAAGTGTGGCGGTGATTCTAAGATCGAGACGCACACTCATCTGCATGTCATAACTACTGACAGTATAATTTCATCTATCCCCAGCAGACTCCAAGGGCATTTTAAATTAAAGGTCTACATGTGGTATTGCGGCATCTAATGATAAAAGGCTTCCTCAGAAGCCGAGAAAAACCAACCTTTTGTTTATAAGTTAAATTCTGCACAGCGATATAATCCCATTCGCGCTCGAATCGAATTTTATTTCCGAGCATAATTCGCCGAATCAGACTCGAAATCGAATTTTTTAATAATTACGCATCATCTCTATTTTTACTCAAAAGAAGTCTATGTAGGTAAGGTTAAAGCACCATATTGGTATATGACAAAAATAGTACGCATATATTTATATATATAGACACACACACATACACCTAAACATAATGTGTGTTGTCCTGATAACGCACCCATGTTGCTTGGGGAAACCATGGAACCTATAGAGGCACCATACAAAAGACAAGATTGTATATAAACTCCCAAGAGGATGAAAGATACGCAAGTAGGATTCAGAAATTTATAAAACTGATTGATCGCAAGGTCCTCTCTCATTGAGGCCTTTTTCGGACAAGGAGTGTCGAGGTATAGAATCCAAATACGTTTGCCTTTTCACACAGACATTAAAACAGTCCGCTTCAGGAGACTTGATGAATTGATTCTATATCCATGACCTGCAATTGATGGACGATTTTAGAGTGAAACTCCAAATTTTTCTGGAGACACTTTCCCTTTTCCCTTGCCCCCTCCTCCCGCTCCCTTGCTCCCCGAACTTTTTTTGAGGTACAAGTGGTACCTCCCCAGGACTTGGGGCACAACAAAGGGTAGGAGGGGGGGGGCGGCTATAAGAGGGAACCAATCCGTCCATTTTTTTCCGCACAGCTGACCCTTTTTTTTTCGGCAGTGTTTTAGCACCCCTGCTTTTCAGATTGCAGGGAGCTGCATGGGGCCCCCCGGGGCATGGGGCTGGGTCCTTGCAACCCATGTATTAACCCTTCACAAGGGATTTCACCCAAGTAACAACAGTCACATATCCTAAGTGAAAAATTTAGGTACATATACTTTAAAGAACAATTTTTCTGGCTGGCCTTCCCACTTAATGCAGCAGTGGCAGCACTACCACCTGTCCATCTGACCCAATTCTTTGAAATCGACAATCAAAACATTTATACCATCCTGCCTGCCAGCCTTCCCCTGACTTACGGTGAATCTCGACTAAGATTTAAACTCAATGACATAAACAAAGACATAACTTTGCTATAATAAGCAGCACATTCCCATCTGTTTCTGATTATTCTTTAATAACAAAATCACCTCCCCTTATTACAAATCCCCTCTGTGTATCTACTGAAGGTGCACCATTCTTAGAATAGTCTGTTTGATTACTGCTCGTTGCTGTTGTTGTGTTTCTTTCATCAACGATATTCTTTTGTGTTGTCTGTACCCTTTTTAACAGCAGTCACAAGCTTACCACATGGAACTAGTTGTTTGTCAGCATGGCTGTACCAAAAGAACATTAATACCAACAATATTTAAACCACATAAGACTTGTTCACATAAATGCAGGGGAATGGCATTTCTTCCAGGTTCTTTTTTGCAGTCCTGTATCTTTTTGCTACAGGCTTTGTTAACCAGCTAGTGCATTTTGTTCAGATTCTTTTTTTTTTTTTGTTAAAGTAAAATGTGTTTTGTTGCTGGCAGAATTAAAAATGCAAAAATAGGCAAAAACACACTACCATCATTTCAGCAGCTTCTCAATTGAACTCTATTCTTGTAAAAAAACCCTGACCCGGTCCAAAAACCAGCCACTCAAAAAAAAGTTATACATGGGAACATGTTCCATAAAACCATGTTAAATGACTTAGTGAGTTGTCTGCAAAAAGCACTAAAAAATGCAAAACGCATAGGCATGAAGTAGCTTTATTTTAAATTTCAAATGGATGCAGGCTTTTTAATATTATTTTGGTTTACAGAAAAAAAATTCACCATCAATGAGACATGCCATTGCCACACCGACAATTTTGGCTGTATTGAAAACTATTCCGATGATCTGTGTATACAAAAAAACACATCAATGGATGGCATTTTGTTAGTTTACAGTGTTGGACAAGAAATAATGAAACACTACATGATTTGCAGGATTGAAAGGGAGGGTAACAATCTTTTGCTTCTTACACCAACTAACCGTGGGAACCTCACTTCGTGAACTGCACTATACAAGTCATGTCAAGCTTACTGATTTTCAAAAAGAGCAAAGTGTTGTACCCACTTAGCTGGGGCTTCTATACTGGAAGTTACCCAATGTTTTTGCGTGGTATCACAGGTACAAGATCATAGTAGACGGCATATACATTTCTGAAAATTTGTCTAAATAATCATAAGCGAGGTTGGACATGTCTACTTGAACCGAATGAGACAATAGGACCTTACTCAGGAATAAGAAAAAAATGGCTGCCAAAGTGATTGCAAATCTCAAGCCTCAGTCTGTCCACAAAAAACTGTGCGAGGGAGCTCCAAAGCAAAACATTCACAGGGACCGGCGCCATTTCCAAATCATATGGATCAAGGAGTTTTGCTCACAAAAGAAAAAGTACAACACCCATAATTTTTTGAACTATCGATCAATGGAAAGACATATTATGCTCCATGATAATGCTTTACCCAGTGTGAACTAGCACCAACGGAGAGCGTTTGAAGCACACATCACTCACTTCCTTCTTTTATAAAGGGCCTGTTTTTGCCCAATTTGAATTTGAAAAGAAAGTTCCATACAACACAGGTTCCCACCAGGGGTATCCTCCATCAATGAAATAAAACAAAGATTCAGGCCTTCTGGCTTCTCTAACATACTACGCTGCTAACTTCATGCCTCAGTAATCTTGTGACCTTTCACATCAACACCTACTGCACCTGGGTTACGCCCTTTCTCACACTCCTGCTACTCCAGCCCATAGTTTGGGCCCTCTATCTGCTCTGTCAGACTTCCCTATGCCATCCATGTCGCGCGACTTGTGGCTGCTGGCCTTGCACCCACATGGAGACTTACTTGGGAGGGCGTGGAGCCCATGAAACCCTGGGTTCCTGACTCTAGAAGAGGGCCACACTACATACCTGAGCTCAATCAGCTTCTCCTGACCAGTTCCACAAAACCTGGTCCGAGCGCATTGGAGAGATGTCCATCCATTCCCAAACTCACGTTTGCAACATCCCTCTACGGCAAGCCAGGTCCCAAACTGGGACTTAAGCCAACCAACGTGAGAAGACTGCAACCACCAGCTAACTCTGCATTCAAGCAGAGTCACGGCCGCCCGGAGGCTGGACCCAATCAACCTGCCATGTTTGAGAAATCCCGGGTGGAAAATCTCCTTTTTTACATCATGGTGACCGCTCGCCACACCCTGTCAACAGCTGTTCCCCACCCACCTGGACATGTCATACATGATGGCGACACCCCCACCCAAGCATACAACAGGACACTGACATGTTCCAATCAGGTCCTGAAGGGCGGCGGCGGCAACAATTACTGGGTATGGACACATCTGGTGGCTAAGACCAAGTTGCACCCCAATGTGTGGTAGACATTGTTTCCTGAAGAACAGCACCCATTTATCGAGCTGGAGTGAAAAATGCTCTGATCTACACACCAGTGCTGGTGTTATCAAATTGTGGGTTGGAACAAGCAATGCAGACAGACGTCTTCACAACTCCCCTAGGGCGCCCGCAGTCCACAGACCTCACCTCATATCAATAGAGCCACAGCAGTCAATTTTGGAGACAAGGTATCAGGCTTGTTTTCCATTCTCCACAAGAAAAAATCAAAGTGACCTGCCCCTATAAGATCTCTAACCCAAATCAATCATTCGAACCCCTTCCCCCATATTTTTTTTATTTTTACTTTTTGGTCCCATCCCGATCTGACATTCTCACCTAGAGAAAGAATGACATCTCCTCTCAACTGAAGGCCTCACTTTCCATTCAGAGCACCACCACAGAAATGGCCAGACCAGTCTTCAAGGGCAGCCTAAAACTAAGAGAAGCAACAAACGACCTGATGCATCAGAACCAAAGACATGGGTCAGCAATCATGCAAAATGATTGAACACCCGAAGAAGATCAAACAGGGAAAGAGAATAAATTCCTCAGAGAACTTTGTTTTAAGCTCAATCCTTTAAATGTTCTCAGAAACTTTTTCAAAACTGCTAGACCACTCCTGTATGAAAAACTGCATCTGGTCTGAACTGATCTGGGTTACTGGCTTTTTGTAAATTCTGTCTCATTTTGATAAGTAAGGAGCTTTGTGTCCCATTGGGAGATTTCTTTCAACTGTCCCTTACCAAGAAATCCCTCCAAAGTGAAGGAATCCGCTGACTGTCACCAGTCGTAGAGCGAGTGTACCCACTGGAAAATTTACACACTTTTTGCTGGTCTGGTGCAATCAAGAATTAGGTTATTCTTCACTTTAACGGGCACAGAACATCAATAAAAAACTAGCCCTAATTAAACGTTAATACAAAAGCACATAACACAAAGAACACTATATTAAAATTAAACTCAACTACCCAAATACATGTCCAATAGCACATTCTAATACTTGCAAATGATCTATTTAGTTAAGAGTTATATATTTTTACAATGATATATAAAATGTTTTTGCCATATATAGTTGTTTGTACATACTTTCCTTTCTTTGCAGGAAAGCTGTTCCCCTTCTAGGGAACTTCTAGGGACTTGCATGCTGGTTAAATGATGCATGTCAGGATTATTCAGTCCTATTTAAACAATTATTGTTTGCAAACCACAAGCATGCTACAATAATAAGGTCCTGAGGCCTCTCTGCGTGACAATACGAGCCTGTTTGTTCCTATACAGTTTAACTGTCTGATGGGATGCAGCTTGGAAGGCCACATGATCTTATGGATATGATGTGTGGCTATTATCACAAATATTAAAAGTGAGCTTAAAACAGAACTAAAGCCATCAATATTTACTGTTTCCCCAAACAGTTACATTCAAAGTATACGT